GTGAACACGATGCTCGAGGCGGAGCTCCAAAAGGCTGACCTCGATCGCGGTCGCACCATCACGTTCGACGAGTTCGTGCCGTACTTTGAGTTTCTCATGAAGCAGCTCCAATCGAGAGGCGCGACGGTCATGCCACCGGCGCAGCCGCAGCAGTATTACGGACAACAAGGATACGGCGTCGCGCCCGTGCCGCAGGCGCAAGGGTACGGATACGCGCAGCAGCCGCAGCCGGGCCAGCGGGGCGGGGGCGGGAGCGGGGTCGGCACCGCGGCGGCCGTCGGCGCCGGCGTCGTCGGCGCCGGCGTCGTCGGCGGTTTGGCCTATCACAATCGCGACGCGATCGGCGGCGCCGCGAGCGCGGCGGGCGGCGCGGCGGTCAGCGGCGCGGGCGCGGCGGCGGCGTGGGCGCCGGGCGCGGCGAGCGCGGCGGGCGGCGCGGTTGTCAGCGGCGCGGGCGCGGCGGGCGGCGCGGTCGTCAGCGGCGCGGGCGCGGCGGCGGCGCGGGCGCCGGGCGCGGCGAGCGCGGCGGGCGGCGCGGTCGTCAGCGGCGCGGGCGCGGTGGCGTCGTGGGCGCCGGGCGCGGCGAGCTCCTTGGCGAGTTTCGCGGGGGACGCGATCGGCGCGCTCGCCTCGTTTTTCTGATCGATATCCTCTAGACGAGACCCCTGGGGGTCTCGTCTCGCGCGTTGTGTTTATCGTCGTCGCGCGTCGCTCGCGTTGACGCGTTTGTATTTGATTTATTCCGGGCGACGCCTCTACGTCTCTCTCTCGCGCTTGCCGCCCCCGCCCCGTTCCCCCTACGATGTGACCCCAAAAGAATCGAGCTCGCTCTCTACAGTACAGGTACACGATCCGCACGCGTTAATCCTTCTGCGCCGCTTGCAACGCCGACGCCGTCGCCGCCGCGATCTCCTGGTCCGTCCCGTTGGGGAGGTAGTAGTACTTCCCGCACGCCTTCTGCGCGAGCTTCTCCGCCATCCCGGACGACACAAACTTGTTCTCCGTGTCGATCACGAGAAGAGACATCCCCGCGCCGTAAATCTTAGCCGCCATGTCGTTCACCTCCTCCTCGAGCTCCTCGTTCGACGGCTTGATCGCCTCCGGGCCGATGTACTCCGGATCCCCGGTGGACTTCTTCAGGGAGATGTTCGCCCTGCCGTCCGTGAGGCACACGACCATGACCCGTCCGACGTCTCCGGACGACATCTGGTTGATCCCGACGCGCGCGGCGAGGGAGAGCCCGTGCGCGAGCGGGGACCCGCCACCGCACGGCATCGTGTCGAGCCTGTTCCTCGCCATCGCGATGGAGCGCGACGGCGGGAGGAGCACCTCGGCCTCGTCGCCGCGGAAGGGGATGATCGACACCATGTCTCTCGATTGGTACGCGTCGTTGAGGAGCGACAGCGCCGCGCCCTTCGCGGCGTTCATGCGGTTCAGCGCCATGGAACCGGACGCGTCGACGAGGAAGATGATGAGCGCGCCGGACTTGCGCGCGAGCTTCTTCGCGCGCATGTCGCCCTTCTCGACGTACACCTTCTTCGGGGCTTCGCCCTTGGCCACCGCTCTCGCTCTCCGCGCGGCTTGGTACGGCGCCGCCGTGCGCAGCGTCGCGTCCACCGCGAGCCGCATGACGTTCCCCTTCGGCATCACCGGCTTGATGTACCGTCCGCGGTCGTTGCTGAAGATGATGTTCTTCGACCGCCCGCTGCGTCCGCCGCGGCGGTTCACGCTCTGCGCGAACTGTATCACGTCCTTATCCTGGATCCCGCCTTCGGCGTCGAACATGAACTCCTCCGGGAGGTCCGGGACTTCGTCCTCCTCCTCCTCCTTCTCCTCCTCTTCCTCGTTCTCCTGCTCTTCGTCGTCCTCGTCTTGTTCCATGTTGTCCTCGGGCGGCGGCGGCGGCGGCGGCGGCTGCTGCTCTTCGTCATCCTCCGGCGGCGGCACGTCCATGTCCATCTTCGCTCTCGGGATGATCACGAGCCGAACCGCCTGCTTTAAATCCTCCGCGTTGACCTTCTCGCGGCCGTCCAGCGCCGCGAGCGCTTTCGCAGCCTTCACCGCGAAGAGCTCCGCGCGATGCCCCATGCACACGCCTCGCGTGGCCTCGTTCACGAGGTACTCGATCTGCTCGTCCGAGATTTTGCACTCTTTGAGCCACTCCCGCGCGAGGATGATTTGCGTCCGCGCGCCCTCCGTCGCCTCCTGGCAGTCTTCCACCGCCTTCTCCGCGGCGTTCTGGAAGTTCATCGCCTGGTCCACCGCGCTCACGCGGTCCTCGAAGTTCAGCACCTGGTCCGCGCTCAGCGTGACCGCGATGCGATCGAGGAGGTGCTCGCGAAGCGCGCCCTCCTCGGGGTTAAACGTCGCGATGAGCAGCGGCCGGCACGGGTGCCGCAGCGTGATCCCCTCGCGCTCGACGACGTTGTACCCCTCCGCGAGCACGGACAGCAGGAGGTTGGACACGGACTCGTCCAGGAGGTTGATCTCGTCGACGTACAAGATGCCGCGGTGCGCCTCCGCGAGAAGCCCGGGCTGGAACACCGTCTTTCCCTCCTTCATCGACGCCTCGATGTCCACCGTGCCGACGAGGCGATCTTCCGTGACCCCGAGCGGGACTTGCACGAACGGCGCCTCGCGGATCGTCGTCTTCACGTCCCCGTTCTCCTTGCGAGTCACGCGGTCGATGAGTCCGTCCTCCCACGTCCCCGGCTCCTCCGGGGACGAGTTGCAGATGGTCCCGTCCACGGTTTCGATCGGCGGAAGCAACGCGTGTAACCCGCGCGCCATGACCGACTTGGCGGTGCCTCTCCTGCCCGAGATCGCGATCCCCCCGAGCGCGGGGTCGATCGCGCCGAGCAGAAGCGCGGACTTGATGTTCTCCTGGCCGATGACCGCGGCGAGCGGGAACGTCTGGCGGAAGTTGCTCTTCTCGACGGTGCCCATGGCGTCGATCGACATCTGTTCCTCCTCCATCGCGGCCGCGACGCGCGCGGCGGCGTCGGAGTCGGACGCGACCGCGGCGGACGGGGCGATCGGCTTGCGCGCGAGGGCGGGTCGCGCGGACGGGCGCGCGCGGAGCGCGCGCGCGTTGCCCGCGATCGATGAGCGTCGGGCTGCGGGAGGAGCGGGGGGGGCGGTGGGGAGGGATCGTCGTCGGCGATCGCGAGTGGATAAATGCGCGGCGCGCGCGATTTTTTCCCCGAGGTGGACGCGCGGGCGCGACGGCGCGCGAGCGGCGGCGAGGACGGAAATCGCGCGTGCGCACCCGCGTGGGGCGTCGGCGTCGCCTTCACAGCGGACATGGCCGCCGCGTTCATGCTTCGGTTAGCGCGGTGTGAAGCGACACACAGGGCGCGGACGCGAGTGCTTCCGCGAGAAGAACCGAGCCGAGAACCTCGAAGATCAAGATCTCGCGATTTGCGGCGATGCGGCCACGCGATTGGCGGAGAAGCCTGTGTACGAGTTTTCGAGAATCCTGTGACTGTTTGCATGTGCACGAAGTATCGCGTACGACGCGCTGTTGGCGATTTTTCGGATTGCCGTTTCCTTCAACTTCGCTTCGCGCGAACGTTCGCGTTCTCTCATCCATCATCGCGCGAACGATGGCGGGAGCGCGGCGGCTGCCGCTCCTTCTCCTCGCGATCGTCGTCGCGCTCCCGGTCGGGAACGTCCGCGCCGCGTTCTCGCTGCGAGGGAGCGACACGCGAAGGGACGAGCGCCTCATCGGATGGCTCGGCGAGGTCCCGCGCGCGGACGCGACGACGACGACGAGGGAGGCGCCGCGCGCGGACGACGCGAGCGCGTCGTCGCTCGGGCCCACGCGCGACATCGGCGTCGGCGACGCGCGCGTGGAGAAGCTCTCGGACTCCCCGCGCGCGTACCTCTTCCGAGAGTTCCTCACGAAGGAGGAGTGCGCGCACCTCATCGAGATCTCGACGCCGCACCTGAAGCGCTCGACCGTCGTCGGCGACGACGCGCTTCTCGGCGAGGCCGACGGCAGACGCAGCGACTACCGCACGTCCACGGGCGCGTTCCTCCCGAAGCTGTACGACGACGTCGTGACGCGCGTCGAGCGCAGGGTCGAAGCGTTCAGCCGCCTGCCGTTCGAGAACCAGGAGCAGCTCCAGGCGCGTTCTGTTAGTCTGTGCACTTTATCTCCCGGCGTCTCTCTCCGCCCATCACCCCACGCTCACGATCCCCTCCCACGGCGCCTCACGACTCCGCTGCTTCTGACGCCGTGCCTTTGAACTCCACCCCGATATCGTCGCTTCGCATGGACCCTCGACCCTCAGCTGCTGCGATACGAGCTCGGACAGGAGTATCGCGACCACGTCGACGGGTTCGCCACGGAGAACGGCGGCAAGCGCGTCGCGACGGTGCTGATGTTCTTGGCCGAGCCGGAGGAGGGCGGCGAGACCGCGTTCCCGAACGGCGAGCCGAGCGAGGCGGTCGCGGCGCGGGTCGCGGCGCAGCGCGCGAGAGGCGAGCTCAGCGACTGCGCGTGGAGAGGCGGCGGCGGCGGTACAGCTGGCGGCGGGAGAGGAAACCTAAGAGGGTTCGCGGTGAAACCGAGGCTCGGGGACGCGGTCCTCTTCTTCTCCTACGACGCGGACGACGACGGCGGGTACGACGGCGCGGAGGTGAGCCACGCGAGCACGCACGCGAGCTGCCCGACGACGCGCGGGGTGAAGTGGACCGCGACGAAGTGGATCCACGAGCGCGCGTTCGCGACAGGGACGTGGGAGACGCCGGAGTGCGTCGACCGCGACGACGGCTGCGCCGGGTGGGCGAGGGGCGGCGAGTGCGCGAAGAATCCGGGGTTCATGCTCGGGGAGGCGACGCCGGGGAGTTGTCTGAAGAGCTGCTGCGACGGCGGCGGCGGCGTGGAGATGCCGCGCGAGATGACGATATGGCAGAGGGAGTTTTGCGCGTCGTGCGAGGCGGGACGGACGAAGAAGGAAATGGTCGTGACGCACGAGGAAATTTAGTTAGGTGCGTTCTATACAAAAGTTTTTCACCCATTGTCCGGTTTCAACATTTGATCGTGTCCCCTTTCAACTGACCGGTGAACCGTTTTTGTATGGAATGGCCCTTAGCGCGTCTTCAGTCAGCGCTTGTTGTTCACCGCAACGACGTTGGAAATATTTTTATTCCTTCTCTGCTGACGCGGCATCATTCCCCGCGCGCGCGTCGCCCGCCGCCGCCCGCCCTCGCGGCGATGTCCGTCTCCGCGAGCGAGATCGAGGAGGTGCGAGCCGCGCTCGAGCGGTCCAAGCTCGAGGCCGCGCGCGAGAAAGCGCGCGCGGCGGCGTACGCGGACGAAATTCGCGCGCTCAAAGCTGCGAATCTCGCCGCGCATCGAAAGGACGAGCACGAGGAGGAGAACGTCACGAACGCGCTCGTGAAGAAGCTCGAGAGAGTGAACGCGGAGAAGCGCGACATGCTCATGCGCGTGGAGCAAGAGGAGGAGTTCATAACGAACGCGCTGCAGAAGAGGCTCGATCGCGTCGTCCGCGAGAAGCTCGATCTCGAGGCGCGCATGGCGAGAGAGCACGCGCGGACGGAGACGAACGAGAAGAAGCTCGGCGCGCTGACGGAAGAGCTGAGCGCGCTCGCGCGGCAGAAGGTGGACCTCGAGCGCGCGCTCGAGGCGGAGCAGGAGTGCATCGTGAACAAGCTCACGAAGCAGACCGCCGGGCTCGCGAAGGAGCGCGAGGCGCTCCGAGCGGAGCGCGAGGCGCTGCGCAGGCAGGTGGAGACGCTGCTGAGGCGCGTATTCCTCACACCGGTCCCCATACGACCCCGTTCGCGTTGTGAACGCCGGTTCTTAAGGACTTTCTCTCCCGACGTGTCTCTCCGCCCACCCCTCGGTTTCGATCGCCGACCTCGACGCCTTTCAACTCCGACTGACGCCTTTGAACTCCACCCCGACGTCGTGCTTCGTACGGAACGACCTTCGCAGAGACAAGGTGCGGCTGGGGCGCGAGAAGATCTCGCTCGAGAACACGATGGAGGCGGAGGAGGAGCACATCGTGAACCGCCTGCAGTCGCAGCTGCTGGAGATGTACCAGCGGAACCGGTTCTTGGAGCGCAGGCTCGAGGCGGGCGGGTCGCAGACGCCGTCGGTCGTGAGCGAGAGCGAGACCTCGGACGACGAAATCGGCGCGCACGCGCGCGGCCGCGGCGGGGCATCGTCGCACTCCGCGCACCACGCGGGCGGGTCGCCGCACCACGGCGGGAACCCGGGCCACGGCGGCGGCGCGCGAGGGATGGGGGGCCTGGGCGGCGGATCCTTTGGGTCGTCCCGCGGCGGAGCGCCGCACTACGGCTCGCACGCGCCGTGGGAGCGGGAGATGTACGCGTCGGCGTTCAACGGCAGACGGCGGAAGAGCGGCGGGTCGTCCGTCGTCTCCGTCGCCACGAGCGCGACGGCGTCGACGTACCAGGATTCGATCGGGACGTCGACGACGACGAGGAGCGAGAGAGACGGGGGCTCGCGCGGGGGCGGCGGGAAGAGCGGCGGCGGCGGCGGCGGCGGCGGCGGCGGCGAGAAGCCTGGCCGAGAGGAGGCGGCGGACGGCGCGTCGGGGCTCGGCGTGATTTCGATCTCGCGCGCGAGCACGCCGCCCGCGTCCGAGTCCGTGGACGCGACGCCGATCAGCACGCCGAGAAGCGCGCGCAGCGTGGAGGACGGGAGATGACGCGGCGAGAGCGCGCGGCGCGGCGACGGCGGGGACGCGAAACGAAACGAAAGTACGAAAGTACTTTTTTACTTTTACTTCAGATGCGCGCGTCCTAACTTTACACGTACTCGAAGAAAACAAAGATCTTAACTCGACTTATTAACTTATTACGTTTGGGTGGGTGACCCTCACTCTTGGACCCCCCCCCCTACCGCCTCGCGCGGCCATCCCCCCTTCCACCCCCAACTCGACGTCGCCTCGTACCGGTTCAAAAGGTTTTCTTCCACAGCGGCGTTGACTTTCTGCGCGGTGCACTTCCACCCGAGCGCTTGCAGCGACAACGCGTACTCCCTCGACCATCTCCTCGCGACGAGGTTGCTCCAGCTCGTCACCGGCGTGCCCGTGGACTCTTGCAACTTCAAGAACGCCCGAAGCGCGATCGCGAGGTCCTTCAACTCCTCGGCGTCGAAAGTGAACGGTAAGTACGGCTCGTATCGCGCGCGTCGCGGATGCGGGCTCGAGACGCCGCCGCCGCCGCCCGCGCCTCCCTCGAGCGCGCCTCCCCCTCCCCGCCCGCGCTTCTTTCCCGCGGGTCTCCCGACGCGGCGAGCCGCGGCGCCGGCCGCGGTGGCGCCCATGAGTTGACTCAGAGGGATCGTGTCCAACGCGGCGTTGGATTGGCGTCTGGAAGCGGACGGGGGAGAGAGAGGGTCGGGTCGTCGGAAAGTCGAGGGCGCGACCGTCCGACCGACCGATCGGTCGGTTCGTCGACGGTTCACCAACGAACGGTGCACTTTTCGGATCGAGATAGATTCGTCGATACGATTCTGGAAAAAAAACGTGGGGAAAAGCGGTTAGGGAGCGATCGCGCGGGGACGACGCACCCTCGCGCCTTCGCGCCGCCGTCGTGCGACGCTAACTGCGACGCGTCCCTCGTCATCGAGTGCACGGTCGCGCCCATCTTCGCGGCGACCTCCTGCGTCAGCGGAAGTCCATATCCCGGCGGCACGAACGTCCGCGGACGCGACGGTTGCTCCACCACGGTGACCAAATCGTTCGGTCGCAGCTTGCGGAGGTGCACAGACGCGCGCTCCGCGCGCGCGACGAGATCTCGCTCGCTCGCGTCCGCGGCCGCGATGACGAGCACGTCCGCCGCGTCCACGGTGATTCGATGCCCGACCACGTCCGACGCGGTGCACGCGGACGCGAACGTCATCCCGATCGACGCGTCGCTCGAGCGCTTCGACCTTGAGAATTCGTTGTTCAGTTCGTCGGAGTAGTGCGGGAGCGATCGTTTGTTCGCGCACGTGTCTCTCTGGTCGCCGCCCTCCGCGGACGACGCGGACGACGCGGGGCGCGCGTCGACGCGCGGGCGCGCGAGGGACGGCGTGACAACGGGGATCGACGTCGTAGTTGCGGCGTCGGCGGCGTCGCGCGGCGTCGAGTGCGCGGGGACAATCAGGAGCCAAGATTCAGTACCTTGACCGACAATCAGGACCGACCGCGACCGAGATCTTTTTTTCGGCAGTTCTCGCGCCGAAAACGCCTCGGATGAAATTTCCGACTGATTGCCCATACGAGAAAAATATTTTTTGTTTGGTTCAATCATGAATAAGTCGATCCTTCACAACACTTGAGTACGTATTAATCTACGACTGATTGCCTATACGAGCACGCGAATTGCCCATACGCGTATGACTTTTTAGTCATCGATCATTGGGCCCCTCAACAGGTGGAACAGGTTTTAAAAAAAAAAGCACTCGCAGTCTTCGCGGTTCATCGATACAGATGCTCGCCTCCTCGCGCGCGGCTGTCGCGACGGCGATGTGGTGCCTCGCGTCCGCGGCGGCGGCCGCGGGCGCGGGCGCGGGCGCGGGCGCGGGCGGCGAGGCCGTCGGCGCGTGCCGCGCGGGGACGGCGACGGGCGCGGCGTGCGGCGCGCGGCGCGTCGTCGCGTCCGCGACCGGGCGGCGTCTCCGTCGACTCCATCGCGGTCACCCCCCCGCGCGGCGGTGCGTCGCGACCGCGGCGACGCGACGCACCGCGGACGGCGCGACGTACGACGTCCACGCCGTCGCGGGCGACGGGCGGTGCCTGTTTCGCTCCGTCGCCGCGGCGATGGAGCTCGCGCGCGCGGGCGCGCGCGCGAGCGACGCGGAGGAGCTGTCCCTCGCGGACGCGCTTCGCGCGCGCGCGTGCGACGAGCTCGTCGCGCGACGCGAAGACGTCGAGTGGTTCATCGAGGGCGACTTCGAGACGTACGTGGAGCGCATGCGGAACCCGTGGGCGTGGGGCGGGGAGCCGGAGATCCTGATGCTCGCCAGAGCGCTGCGGACGCCGATCGAGGTGTTCGTCGTCGTCGAGGGAGAAAACGCGAGCGCGCGCGAGGGGGGCGAGCTCCGGAGCATCGGACGGTACGGCGAGGACGAGGAGGAGGAGGAGGACGGGGACGAGGAGGAGGAGGAGGAGGGGGGGGAGGAGGAGGGCGCGAGCGGAGGGGCGGAGGGCGGCGGCGGCGTCGCGGTGTTGTTTCACGGCGCGGGGCACTACGAAGCCCTCACGCGGTGCGACGACGACGACGCCGCGCGACGATGAAACGAACGACGCGCGCGAGCGAAATGAAACGAAACGCGTCGTCTCCGTACGTGTAGTCTAGCTCGAAGAGTCCGCGCGACGCGAGCCTCTCGTCCCCCGACAGCACGCCTTGCCTCTCTCTTCCCGCCTCGCCTCGCGTCGCGTCAGTGCGAGACGTACTCGCTGTACCGCTCCGGCCGCTTCCGGCTGCGAAGACCCGCCGTCGCCCAGTCCGCCGCGCCCGGCGCGATCCTCTCGCACGCGTCTTCGAACGATCTCCCGCCGTCGCCGCCGCCGACGCCCGCGTGCCGCACGATCGCCCAGAACACGCGCGGTGACGCGACCGCCATCGCCGCGGGCGCGAGGTTCGCGCGCGCCTCGGCGCTCTCGTCCGCGGCGACGACGCGAAGGACGACGGGTAAAAACGCCGCGGGGAGGTCCTGGATAATCTCCGACATCTCGCGGCGTCTGCCCCCCGCGTCCGTCGCGGCGTAGCGGACCAACAGGCGGCCGTCCGGCATCGTCTGAAACGTCGCGCCGCCGGTCAGCGCGGCGGAGACTTTCGCGTTTCCTTCCGCCTCCGCGCGACGCTCGCTCACGACGGCTCGCATCGCGCGCTGCAGCGAGCCGATCGTCGGGTCGGACGCGGAGAGCGACCCGGCTTCCGCCGCACGCATCAGGTCCGCGGCCATCGCGGTCGCGGCGGCGTTCGCGGCCCCGCCGCCTTCGCCTTCGCCGCCGCCTGGGTCTCGAAGCATCGCCGCGGTGGAGATCGCCTCTCTCGCCGCGAGGTCGCCCGTGCGTCGTCTGACGCGCGCGTCGAGAGCCTCGACGCCGACGCCGACGCCGACGCCGACGCCGACGCCGCTCGACCCCAACGTGTTCTTCTTCCCCTTAAACGTCCCCGTCTTCTTCGGTTTCTTGACGGCGACGGGCGAAGGCGACGCGGCGGCGGCGGCGGCGGCGGCGGCGACCGGGACGACGCCGCCGACGCCGACCGCGGTCGGGGACCCGCCGAGTCTGTGACCGACTTCCTTCACGGCGGCGGCGCGCTTTCGCTTGGGGGTCATCGCCGCGCCCGCGCCCGCGCCCGCGTCCGCGCCTCCGACGCCGTCGTTCACGACGTAGAGCGTCGCGGACACGACGTCCAGATTCGTCACCCCGAGCGCCGCGATCGCGACGTCGTCGTCATCCTCCGAGAGCGTCCTCACGTTGTGGTGTCCGACGGAGAGAGAAAACACGCGGTACTTTGCATCCTCCGCGATAAAGGACGACTCCGCGACGTGCCTGAGCTCCGACGCCGTCGTGGACGCGCCGTCGGGGAGGAGCAGCGTCTGCGGCGGGGGAGGCGGAGGTCCGGATCCGGGCGCGGTGGGCGCGGGCGCTTCCGCGGCAGCGAGGGAGGCGTGGATGCGGACCGCGCGGACGCGAACCTTCCACTGCTTTCGTTGGCCGCCGCCGCCGCCGCCGCCGCCGCCGCCGCCGCCACTCGGTGGCGGAGCTTCGTATTTAGACGATTCAGGCGCGCGATCGTCACCGCTGACCCCTGCCTTCGCGGGTCCGCTCGCGCCGCCCGCGGAAACGGACGCGGGAGTGATTTCACCCCCTCCGCCGCCGCCGCCGCCGCCGTCGCCGCCGCCGCTGTCGCTCAGATCCGCGAACGTCACCGCCGCCCGCCGCCGCTCCGTCCTCCCTTCCCTCGCGACGTCCACGTCCGACGCGAAGCGAGCGTTCGCGGCGACGTTCGCCGCCGCGTTCGCCGCCGCGTTCGCCGCCGCGTCCTCGTCGCTCGCGTCCTCGTCGTCGTCGTCGTCCCTCGGGACGTCCACGAGCTTGAGGCTCTGCAGGATCCGTCTTCGGGATAACGCGTCCGCGGCGACGGAGGGATCGACGCCGCCGCCGCCGCCGCCGCCGTGGACGGACTCGCCCTCGAGCGCGGCCGCGGCGATGCGCCCCTCCACGCCGCCGTTTCGCTCGTCGTCGTCGTCGTCGTCGTCGTCGTTCTCGCCGGCCTCGTCGTCGGACGCGTCGTCGACGTCGGCGTTCTTCTTCTTCGCCGCGGCCGCCGCCGCCGCCGCCGCGCTCGCGAGCTCCGCCTGCACGTCCAAGAGCGTCTCCTCCGCGGTCTCGCGCATCGCGAGAACCTCGACTTTCACCGCGCGCCGCTGCCCCATCCTGTGCGCGCGCGACACGACCTGCTGTTCCAGCGCGGTGTTATCTAACGGCTCCATGACGAACACGACGGACGCGAAGGATAAATCTAAACCCTCCGCGGCGGCGCGGTCGAGGAGAAGCACGGCGACGTCCGGGTCGCCTCGGAACGCGGCGAGCGCGGCGTCGCGCTGCGCGCGCGTCATGCCCATGCGCGCGATGTTCACGAAGTCCACGCCCGCGCCGGTGAGGCCGAGATCGATGACGTCCAAGTGCGTCCGGAAACCGCTGTAGACGATGACCTTCGCGGGGGCGCCGACGCCGACTCTACGCCACAGCGACGGCGGCAGCGGCGGCGCGGGCGCGGGCGCGGAGACGCCGCCGTCCTCGCTCGTCGCCGCGGCGTCCTCCGCGTTCGCCGCGATCGGCGGGCGGTGCGCGCGGAGGATCTCCTCCGGCGCCGCGGCGCCCATCTCGCGAAGGCGCGAGAGCAGATGCCGAACCTTCGTGCTCTCCCCCTGCGCTTCGAGCGCGTCCGTCATCCTCCACGCGTGCTGCACGTACGACGGCTGAATCTCGATCAGGTCTTGCGGGACCGCCTGTCGAGGCGCTGGGTTATCCGCCCGCGGCGTCGGCGCTTGCATGACGAACGATGACGCGCACACCGGGCACCGCCGCGGCGCGCGCTTCTCGTGAATAAAGTCGCGCGCGGTCGTCGACGAGACGCCGCGTTCGCGCTCGTCCCCGACGACGGCGACGCATCCGGTGCACAGCAAGTGCGCGCACGGGGTCACGAACGGCATGAACGACGGTCGCCGACACCGATCGCACGCGCCTCTCGCGTGGAACAGCGGGTACCGGAGCGCGTTCGCGGTCGCCTCCGCGGTCGCGCGCGCGACGCCCTTCTTCGTCGTCAGCGCGCGCACGAGGTCGACGATCGTCTCCTCAATCTCGTCGTGGAAACAGCTCACCGGGAACGTCCCGGTCACGCACGCCGCCTCGCGAAGGTTTCGCACTGCGTCCTTCGCGTTTCGCGTCTGCGCCGGGTTCAGGAGCGACTCGCGATGGGACTCGTCCGCCCAGTCCGCGAGAAGGAGCGACCGACGCACGAACGCGACGAGCTCGTTGTACGCGACGGCGTGCGTCTTCGTGAATCTTAGGGCCATTCCATACAAAAAAAGTTCACCGGTCAGTTGAAAGGGAACACGATCAAGTGTTGAAACCGAGCGGTGGGTGAAACACGTTTGTATAGAACGCACCGTAACGACCGAACTTCTCGCGTCAACGGCGGCAGACGGATGTCGGACTTCAACGTGCGAATCGTCGTCCGCTCGAGAACGGACGCGAGTCGCGACGCGGCGTCCGCGCGCGCGTGCTCTCGCGCGTCGTGGGCGTGCGACGCGCGCTCCGCCGCGGCGGCGCCGTCGAACTCGGCGTCGGGGTCGCGATCCGTCATCGCGATCCGTCCGGCGCGCGCGCCCTTCCGCGTCGCGCCGTTCTTCGAAAACTTACCACCGTGCTTCCCCCTTACTCCCTTGCCGCCCTTCGCGCCGGTTCCGCACCCCTCCGTCGCCTGCAGCGGCCTCTGAATCGCGCTCATCCACAGCTCGCGCGAGTTCCCGAACGGCGGCTGCCGCAAAAACGCGAGCAACGGCTGGAGGTACGCGACGCCCGTGCCCTTCAACGTCGCCGGCGTCGGCGTTCCCGTCATGACCCACCTCGCGTGCGACTTCAACGCGCACGCCATGGAGAGCTTCTGCGTGATGCTCGCGCACACCCCGAGCTGGTGGCCTTCGTCGAACACGATGCGCTGCCAGTGAACGCGCAGCAGCGGCGAGTCCATGTCCCCGAATTCGCTCGACAGGCGATTCACCGGGACGAGGACGACGTCGTACGCGCGCGCGAGACGCGACGGGTCCACGCCGCGGAACGACGCGATCGAGTCGTGCTTCGCGCGCGCCCGAAACGCCCCAGCGCCGACGGTTTCCGCGCCGGTGTACGACGACGACGCGATCAGATCGCGCGCGCCGCCGGAGAGTTCGTTCAACGACGCCGTCGTCGGCTTACGCGCCGCCGCGCCCTCGATCCCGAACAGCCACCGCGTCTCGGCGCCGTCGCCGTCGTCACCGTCGCCGCCGCCGCCGCCGCCGCCGCCGCCGCCGCCGCCGCCGCCGCTCGCGCCGAGGCCGACCGCCGCGTGCGTCCTGCCGTCGCCCGCGCCGAGGACGCACGTCCGCGGCGCGCACTCGCCGCCGCCCGTCGTGAACGCGATCTGCTCGAGCCAGTGAGATATCAACACCGGGGGCAACACGACCAGCGTCGCGGAGGATAACCACACCTTCCGCCGCTCGCCGACGCCGTCGACGCCCTCGCGCGCGAGCGACAGCGCCTCGTCGAGCGCGTCGGTGTCGAGCGCGATCGATTCCGATTCCGTCCCCGCCCCCTCGTGCGGCGACGGCGGCGGCGCCCAGGACAGCGGCCGCTTCTCCGTCGCGCCGGACGGGAGTAAACCGAGCGCGTACATGACGTCGGGCACGCCCTTCGCGGTCTCGTCTCCCGCGCCGAATCGCCACTTTGGCAGCGCGAGCGGGGAGTCGCGCGTGATCGCGGACGACGCGTTCATGAGCACGAACTCGATGATGTCGTGCGCGATGGCGCTTCCAGCGTTGTGCGACGCGACAGCGATGCGGTCTTGGAAGAACGCGACGTTTCTCGACGAGATTTCCCTCTCCGCGGCGGACGCCTTCGCGCGCTTGAACCCGAGCGGCGGCGCGGTCGCGGTGGAAAAAAAGTCGTCCGAGCTCGTCTCGGTCTTCGTCGCGCCGTTCGTCGCGTTCGCGCCGTCGTCGGAGAAGAGCCGCGTCGGCGCCGGCGCGGAGGCGATGTCGTCTACTACCGCGCGCGGACCGAGCCGCGACGGTCGCTTCCCCGTCGACGTCGACGTCGACGTCGACGCCGCGCCGCCGCGGTTCCGCTTCCGCCCGCTGAGGTATTCTTGCACCGCGCGCTCGATCGCGGCGAAGTGCCCGACCGGCGTGCCAGAGGACGACCGTTTGCTCCGTCGTGGGGTGCCGTCGCCGCCGCCGCCGCGCTCGCCCGTCGCGCCGCCGGCCGGCGTCCCGCCGCCGCCGCCGCCGCCCGAGCTCAAGCTCGGCGCTTCTTTGTAAAACCACGCGCGCTTCTCGGGGCAGAACCTCGCGCGCGCGCCCGTCGGCGGCGGCGGCCTCGCGCCCCGACGCGCGAAAATCAGCGCGAGCGCGGTCACCGTCTTCCCTAACCCCGGCTCGTCGCACAGGAGCCCGCCGGGAGAGTCGACGTACGACGGCGGCGGCGCGAGGCTCATCTCACCGCTCACGGCGTTGAGCCAGTACGGCGTCTCGACGTCGCCGCCGCCGTCCGTCGTCGTCGCCGTCGTCGTCGTCGTCCGCGCGCCGATGGGTCCGACCCAACGCGGGTCCACCACGCTCGGTCCTCCCCACCCGCACCGCTCGCGTCTCCGCATCCACGACAACCCCGCGATCTGATGCGGGTGCAGCCGGAGCTGGAGCCCCGGCGCGGCCGCGTCTAATCGCGCTCGAAACCCGCGGCACGTGGACGCGAGCGCCGCGGCGGCTCTCGCGTCGAGCCGCGCGACGATCGCGTCGAGCGCGTCCTCGGGAAGGTCCGCGGGGGACGCGCGAGCGCGCGACTCGGGCGCGATCGGCGGGAACGTCGGCGGCGGCGGGCGGAGACGCTCGAGCGCGGTCGCGAGCGAGCCGCGGCGCGAGCGCTCGACGTCGTGCGCGGCGCACCCGGCGACGCCGCAGAACCCGGCGCAGCGGCGTCGAGAAGGACGAGATCCGTCGTCGTCGTCGTCGTCGTCGTCGTCGTCGCGCCGCGCGTGGCCGAACACCGCGACGTACGCCGCGCGCGTCTTCGCGTCCTTCGGCTCCGCCCTGCCGCGCGTCGCGAGCGTCGCCGGGAGCGTCAGGCGCACGCGCGCGGTCGCGCGCGTCAGATTCGCGGCGTCGACGCGGAGCTCGACGCGCTCGACGCACGCCGCCTCGAGATGCAGCAGGTGCCGCAGGATGCCGCCGCGGCACCCCCACTCGCGTCGGACGGCGGCGCCGAAACGCGTTCGCGCTCGCGTCACGACGCGCCCGCTCGCGAAGCCTCGGCGGACGCGAACGCCCGTGCGCAGGTACTCGCCCGGGGGGCCGGGCGGGATCTCGGGCGACGGCGCGAGCGTGCCGACCTCGACGACGTTCGTCGCGGGCGGCGAAGACGCGGGGATCTCGCTCGCGGAGGACCGCGCCGACGACGCGTCGATCGACGCGACCTCGTCGACGAGGTGGACCTCCACGTCCACGTACCCGCCGCGCAGGACGCTCGACATCGCGCTCTGCCGCCCGTCGCCCGGCGCGCTCCGGTGACCACGGCCGCGGCGATCACCGCACTGGCGGGAAACAACGAACGCGACCGCGACCGGACGACGCCGACCGACCCGAACGACAGAAGCGTGATGAGCTGGCGATAAAGTCGTTCGTCGTTCGTTACAAGTCCGCGCGCGTCGGGATGGGCGGAGGCCGCGACGGAATCGCGCGCCGGCCCGCGCGCGGGGGGGGGGCGGTCGCGGACGCGTCGCGAGGACGGATCGACGCGATGGGGGCGCGCGCGCGGCGCCGATCGAACGCCGATCGCCGATCGGACGGATCGTCGAACGAAGCCGGAGCCTCATCGCAGTCGGACGACGAGGAGCCGCGACCTCCCGCGCATCGCGCGGTCTCGTCCCTGCGCAAGGCGTCCTCGTCGTTCGGGTCGTTCGAGAAGCTCCACGAGCTCGCGGACTGGAAGCAGGTCGGCCTCCACAAGCGGTACGCGGACCAGGCGCTGCATCGCCCGATCGCGCGAGGGTGGATCCACCTCGTCGTCGCGTCGGGCGTCAGCGCGATCGTGCTGTCAGGCGTCCTCTCGTCCGTCGCGCCCGCGCCCGTCGTGACGTTCGTGGTGACGACGTTCATGCTGCCGTACTGGGCGTCCGTGGGGCTGCACTGGATCCCATGGCGGAAGAGGACCGCGCACGACATCGCGCTGGTGTGCGACTTCATCGGGATATCGCTGGGGTTCTCCGGGCAGACGGCGTCGTGGGCGGGGCGGGGGTGGATCCGGAGCCGAACCTTCGTCGCCGCCGCCGCGAGGCTGAACGCGCTGTGCACGGCGTCGCTCGTCGCGGTCATGACCGTCGGGCTCTTGAAGCGCAAGAAGCAGCCGATGATGCTGTACAAGCGGAAGTTTCGGTTCGCGGTCGTGGGCGCGAACATGGCGCTGTTGGCGTTCGCGGAGAGCGCGTCCATCGCGGACCGACGCCTCAACGTCTTCATTCAGATTCTCGGGAAGGCGCTCGTCCCCGGGTACTTTCTGCGATGCGTCGCCGTGGACGCCAAGATCGGGAGACGGGGATGGCCGCTGCCGACGTGGGACGGGGTGTGGAGCGCGCACGAGAACTGGCACTGCGCGATTCTGTTGTTGCATTGCACGCAGTTGTACGCGATGTCGCGGCACGTCGGCTGGGAGGTCGTAGCCTAGATTTATTATTATTCTTCGACTTAATTATTAGAGTCGAGTTATTCAACCCCCGTCGCCGGTGTCGTCGCGCGCCGCGGCTCGCGGGCACGATGTTCAAGTCGCTGCTGGAGGCGCACAACGACGCGCAGAGCAAGCGCAAGGACGACGCCGGTGCGCGCCCCGTCGCTCGAGCCGGCCGCGCGGTAGCCTCTTCTTCGCCGACCGCGCGCGATCGCCCCCCCCCCCCCCCCACCCGAAACGCGACGACTCGAACGCCCCGCGGTCTCACGCGTTGCCTCCTCCCTCCCCGCGTCCTCGTTCGCAGACGCGTCGCGACGCGAGGCGTTTCACGCGCTCGACGCGATGAACGACGCGCTCGCGGACGCGGTCAGCGGCGACGTCCACGACGTGTTCGAAGCGCAGAAGAAGATCGAGGAGCGATCGCGCGAGCTCAGGGAGAAGAGCGTCCGGTTCGCGTCCGTGACGGGGGAGGTGCGCACTACACGCCGGCGTCTCTCTCCGCCCACCCCACGGTTTCAATCCCGACACGCCGCGACGCCTTTCGACGCCTCTCGACCGACGCCTCTCGACGCCGCCCCGCCGTCGCTTCGTATGGGCAATTACCCTGCAGTGGACGCGTTTCCTCAACAACTTCGACGACGCGCTCCGAGGGATCGGCGATTTCGAGCGGTGGGTGAAGGAGGTCGAGTTCGACCTGAACAACCTCACCGGGGTGATGAAATACGTCGAGGAGGGCGCGGAGGAAGAGCGCGGCGGGGCCGACGCGGGGGATGAGGACGGGAACGAGTGAACGACGACGGGCGGACGGGACGCGCGTCGAAGGAAGCGTAGGAGACTAGCGATAGCCGATTACATGATTAGATGGTGGGCGGCGTCCATGCGCGCCGCGAGCATCGCTCACTTCTTCTTCGCCTTCTTCGCGGGCTCCTGCTTCGTCGCCTTCTCCCCCGCCGGCCGCTTCGCCGCCGCCGTCTTCTCTCCTCGCGCCTCTTTTCCCTTCTCCTTCCCCGCGGCGTTTGCGCCCGGATCCGGATCAGCCGCCGCCGCCGCCGCGACCGCCTCCTCCTCCGGCAGCGTCGCGTTGTACAGCGGCAGCGCCACGGATTCGTTCGTCTTCATGTACACGCTCTGCACGTTCGCCCACTTCCTCGGGATGATCTCCACGACGCCCGCGATCGCCGCCATCGCGTTCTCTACGACGTCCTCGACGCTGAATCGCGCCTTGGCCACCTTGACGTGGACGCACGTGCCCGCGCCCACGTGCACGTACGTCGCGGACGCAGCCTTGCGGACTTGCTTCGGCCAGTCCTGCTTCGTGAGGTCCACGGGCACGGGTTGCTTCTTCTTCACGAAGAAGCTCTTCCCCAGGAGCTTCGGAAGCACCGGTATCACGCGCGCGTCCGCGAGGAACAGATCGTAGGAATCGCAGAGCTGGCGCTTCGCCTCGTGGGGTTTGTAGTTGTTCCGGAGCTTCGAGATGCCCAACACCTTGGCGACGCCGCACTTCTCCATCTCCGCCACCTTCTTCTTCGCCTCCTTGTGCCCTTCGCCCTCCTTATCCTTCACGATGAGGCAAATCTCCGCGGTTTTCAGATCGAGCAGAGGATGCGGGACCCTGATGGGCACCAGCTTGTTGCTTCCCTTCTGCGGCGTCTTCCGCGTGGACACGAGGACGCTGAACGTCTCGTCGCCGCCGTCCTCGTCGAACAGCTGCGTCTTCGCCTCGCTCCGCACTTTTTCCAAGTGCTTCTTCAGCGCGTGCACCGCTTTCGCGACCTGCGCGGCGCTGACTTTGGAGGCGACGTCGACGGAGGGAGGCGCCATCGCGGTGCGCTTCTGGAGCCGCCGCCGCCGCCGAATCGACGCGACGAGGCGAGAAGAGCGCGACCGACGACCGACGCGGGACGGGGTCGCGCGACGCGCGCGCTCGGTCGGCGAGCGCGAGACCGGGGGCGCGTGCCGGCGCTTCTCTTCGCGATGCGAAGGTCGGAGCGCGCGGGGTTGTGCCGACGGCGAGGGGAGGGCAGCGCGGACGTCTCTCGAAACAAATGCCGCGCCGGCGGCGGTGACGGCGATCAGTCGCGCGGGCGAGGTCTACACGTGTACCCTGACTCTCGTGCTCGTTTTTCGTTGATTAAATACACCGCCGCCGCCCTCTTCACCTCGTCCCGCCGCCGCCGTCCGGCAACCCGCAGAACAACTGCGCGGATATCACGCTCTCGTGCCGCTTCAGCGCGCGGAGCAGCAAGTCCAGACGCGCGTCGAGCTCGACGACGCGCTCCTCCGCCGCGCGCGTCGCCGCGTCCGAGTCCGCGTCGTCGTCCTCGTCGACGCTGACGTCCATCAAGACGTCCCCGCCGCGGTCGAGCTCGATCTCGTAGATCATCTGAAACTCCCTTATCAGTCCCGTGTGTGTGTCGCCTGGTCTTCTCTTCGCGCTCTTCCCGCTGTAGTTGACGATCCCGCACTCGCCGACGCGCGTGATGACGTCCGAGATCTCCGCCAGCAGACCGTCCTTGTCTTCGCACAGCAGCGACACGGTGGCGGTGGAGTACTTGGACAACGACGCGCCCGGGTCCCTCCTCGCGTCTCTCGCCATCGCGGCCGCGGCCGCTCGAACCACGTCGTTGCGCGCGCCGTTGAGTATGACGTCCACCTCGGAGTTGGGCGCCGCGGCGCTGACCGCGCCGAGCGCCGGCGCGGTGGTCCGCGGGACGTCCCCGTTTTCCGCGAGGAATTTCTGAATCTTGTACTTGGCGCTTCGCGTCTTGGCGATGTCGAAGAAGCCCTTCTGGAGCGCGACTTTCTGCTTCGCAACCGCGCGCGCGACCGCGCTCGCGCTCGCCTCGCCCGCGCCCGCGAACAGCTCCAACCCGCTGTTCTCCGTCGCGATGATCTCCACGACGTCCGCGTTCGAGAGGCGGTAGTCCGCGTCCACGTCCACGCCGTTGACCTTCGCCGCGATCATGTCGACGCCGACGTCGGTGTAGTACGCGTAGTCCACCACCGTGCTCCCCGCGGGGAGGTTCATGACGCCGCCCTCGGGGGTGAACACGAAGACGCGACGGCCGAGTAAATCCCCGGTGATCGTGTCCACGAACTCCTCCGCGGTGAGGACGCCCAAAAACTCTTCCTGCCACTCGCGGATGTTGGCGAGCCACGCGAGCTGCCGCTCGTGCCCGCTCTTTATGAGGACGCTCTCCGCGGGCGACCGCCTCGCGTCGTCGTCGTCGTCCGAGTCCGAGGAGTCGCTGCCGTCGTCCAAGCTCGCGTTGACGCCGACGCTGACGCCGACGCCGCCCTCGAGCGCGGCGCGCTTCCGTCGCAGCCGCCGGCTCGTCCGTCGCGCCGTCGTCCTCCACGCCGCCTTCACCTCCTTATCCGCGGCGATGCCGCACTCCGCCATGCGATGCATGTCCTCCGTGCGAATCTGCAACTCCAGGGGAAACACCTCGTCGCCGCCGCCCTCGCCCCACTTCCCTCGCTTCGCGCCGCCGCCGATCGGCTGCACGACCGTGTGCAGCGCCTTGTACCCGTTCAGCTTCGGCGTCGCGATGTAGTCCTTCATGCGTCCGGGCACCGGCGGCCACGCCGCGTGCACGATGCCGAGGACGTGGTAGCACAGCCTGGACGTCAGCGCCTTCCGATCCTTGTCGTCGTCGCGGGCGGAGGAGTACTCCCCGGAGAAGTACTCGTCGCCGTCGTCGCCGTCGGTGGACTCCTTCGCGTCGTCCTTGAGGTGGAGGACGATCCTGAGCTGCGCGACTTCGTTCACGCGACGGAGACGCGAGGAGAGGAGCTCGAGGGATTCGCGCTCCGCGTCGCTGCCGGGCGGCGCCGTCGGTATCCTCTCCCCGCCGGCTTTGCGGTACACGCCGTACAGCTCCTTCGCGCGGCACTGAATCTCCACGCGTTCGCACGCGCTCTTCAGGAAGTCGTCCTCGTCGCACATCTTCTGCAGCTCCGCCGCCGCTCTCGTGACGACCGGCTCTTGTCTCTTGGAGAGCTCGTCGAACCACCGCGACGTGATGGCGTGTTGCTCCGGCGCCACGTGCATGAACGCGAGCTCCTCGAGCTCGTTCTTGACTTTGTACATCCCCAGAAGTTTCGCGAGCGGGGCGAACACGAGGAGCGTTTCCTGCGCGATCCTTCGTCTTTTGTCCGGTTTTAACGACCATAACGTCCGCATGTTATGCGTTCTGTCCGCGAGCTTGACGACGATCACCCTGACTTCTTGCGTCATCGCGAGAAACATCTGTTGCAGGTCGTCCGCCTGGACGTTCGCCTTCGTCTGCGCCGTCGTCTGCGCGCTCGCGACGTCGTTCGCGCCACCATCCGCGCTCGCTCTCGCGCCCGCGTCCTCGTCCTCCGAGTCATCGAGCAACAGCGGGAGGTCCGCCGCGGTCGTCCGCCCCTGCTTGCTCACGCTCGACGACACCTTGCTCACCTTGGTCTCGCCCTCGACGATCCGCCGCACCGCGGCGCCGAACCGCTCCTGTATGGACTCGAACGTCACGAGGTCCGTGTCCTCCACGGTGTCGTGGAGCAATCCCGCGATCACGGTCTCGTGGTCCATGCGCTGGTCCGCGAGTATCCCCGCGACCGCGACGGGGTGCGTGACGAACGGCTCGCCGGATTTTCGTCGCTGGCCGTCGTGCGCGTCGTGCGCGACCGCGACCGCCGCGCGCACCTCGTCGCGCTCGAGCGCGTCCATGTACGCCAGCTTCTCCGCGATGGTGTCGTACAAGTACTCCGCGTTCACGTGCGACCAGTCGCCGTGCTCGCCGCTCGCGGCGCTCGGCGCGTCGATCGACGCGGCGCGGCGCCGCGCGGCGCGTACGGCGCGGGCGGATCGTGGATTATCTTTGATCCCGCCGCGCGATCGCGATCGAGCGTCCGCGAGCCGCGCGGGCGACGCGGGTCCCGAGCAGCTCGCGGTCGAGTGGCTGCGCGCGCGGTCGGACCATCGCGCGGTCGCTCGCGGGGGACAAACCCGCGGCGAGGTCGCGGCGAGGCGCATCGCGCGGCGTCGATCGATCGATCAACCCCCGACGCGCGCGCGAATCGTCTCGGGAATGTTACCCAACCCTGACGCGCTTTGCGGAGGCGGGGGCGACCGCTTCCTTCGCGCGTCGCGCCGCTCCGGCGTCGCGGTCGCCGGGTTCAGCCCTCCGCGCGGATCGCCCGATGCGGATCCCGCGCGCGCGCCGCGCGCGTGACCTGTCGTGCGCGCGTCGTCCGGCGCGCGCGTCGCGAGTGCGACCCTCTTCCCGCGTCCGGGTTGGGTCGTCGTCTCCGCCTCGACTCCGCGTCGCCTCGATCGGCCTGCTGGCGGATGTGATCGTTGACGGTCAGGTCGCCCGGCCGTTCCGAATTAGGTAGGGGCGGGGTCGGTGCTCGGTTCACAGCACGTCGCGCGCGTCGTCGTCGTCGCACGCGCACGGTCGCACGCACGCCAGGGCGGACGCACGCGCGTCGGATTCGCACACACCGCGGGGAGTCGCATCGCATCGCATCGCATCGCGCTCGCGCACGATGCAGAGCGGAGAATCCATCTACGACCTCATCCCCAAGCCGGTGGAGGTGCCCGAGCGGCCTCCGATTTACGTCTCTCAGGTGCGCGCGTCCCGCGACCCGCGGATCGTTCGCGCGCCGCGCGAGACGCGCGTCGCCGGTCCTCGGAGACGGCGGCGCCGTCGCGCGAGGACGCGATCGCGCGTCTCGAGCGATCGCGCCCGAGCCTCGCGTCGAACGAATCCCCGCGGTTCCCACCCTCTTCCGTTTGAACCCAATTCTGACCCTCCTCGCGCGCACACCTCGCGAAATCCTCCCCTCTCGCAGCACCCGAAGGACGTGGACGCCGAGAGGCGATCGAAGGCGACGTTCGGGCACGCGATCGGGTCGCTCAAACCGATCCCGACGAACTTCCTGAAGTCGCACGCGAAAGAGCCCGTGCTCCCCTCGCGTGCGCCCCCGATCCCGTCGCGTCGTCCCCGTCGTACCCTCGCCGTCGTCCGCCTCTTCTCCAGAGAGTCCGCCCCCGTCCCTGCCAAAAGGGGACATCGTTTTTTCTCTCGCGCGAAAAGTCTCTCTCTCTCGTCCGACGTTACCCGCTGACCTCCCCCGTTCCCTCGTCCACCCACCCCCGTTCGAACCCAATCCATCCACAGCGGAGCGCCCGACCCGCGAACGCGCGACGCTGAAACCCCCCGTCCCGAGCAAGGAGGAGCGGCCGACAATGGGCCTCGTGTCGAAGAAAAATTTCGTCTACGCCAACGCGGTTGAGAACATCCTCTCCAAGCCGCCGACGAAGACGGCGCCGACGCGAATGACGGAGAAGCCGGAGTACGGCAAGGTGCCGAAGTACCTCGAGACGATCAAGTCGCAGATATCCGCGGAGAAGGCGTTTATCGCGGCGCGCGAGGAGGAGCTCGCGAAGGAGCAGAGCGGGCGGACGCGAGAGCTGTCCCAAGAGGAGGTGGACGGTCTCGTGCGCGACATGAAGATCAAGTGGGCGAAGCTGAACGACGCGTACGGGCGTCTGCCGTTCACCCTGGACGTGCCGAGCAAGAAGAGGAAGAAGGAGGAGCTGGAGAAGGAGATGACGCAGCTCGAGAAGGACATCAAGAGGCTGCAAGGCAGGCGGGTGGTGGTCGTGTACTGATCTCAATGATGTTTTTGAGCTCCGAGGGTGCGACGACGACGTCGACGGACGACGGGGAACGGGGAGAGGGGCGCGTACTAGAAGATACCTTACGGGGGTGGGACGACGCATCGTAGCTCGATAGATGATCGCGCGCGCGCGCCGCGCGGCGGTTTACATGCATATCACAGCGTGTCCTTCCGAAGCGCGCCTCTCTCGTTAAAAGTGAAGTACTGTTAGAGTCTTGCTTGTATCTCGTCGAGTCGTCCGAAAAGGTCTGGTTGCGTTCGTGCCGCCGAGGCGTTCGCCTCGGTAGTCGTCACTCCCTCGCGCGCGCGCGGTCCGCGCCGGCATGCGCGTCGCCCTCCCCCGCGCCGCGCTGGCGATGATCGCGTGCGTTCTCTTCTGCGCGTCGCGCGCGTCGCTCGTCGCCGCGGGAGGCGGCGACGTCGCCGCCGCGGGCGCGCGCGAGCCCGAGCCACCGCTCGCGACGCTCCGCGCGTCGAAGCGAGCGGTCTCGACCGCCGTCGCCGAGGCGTCGGCCGCGCGCGCGCGCGTCGTCGTCGACGCCGCCGCCGCCGCCCCAGCGCCGCTCGCGGTATCGCGCCGCACCGCGGTCGGCGCGTGGGTCGACGTCCCGCCGCCGCCGCCGCCGCCGCCGCCGCCCGCGTCGACGCTCCTCCCGTTCCCTCCCCCGCTGTGGAGCGCGCAGTCGACGTCGGGCGCTCGCGGCGGGTGCGCGACGCGCGAGCTCGACGCGGCGGAGCTCGAGGCGAAGGAGAACGCGCGGCTTCGCGCGCGTACCGCGTCTCACGACAATACTCTGAGCCGACTCGCCGGGTTCGCCGTGGACGTCCCCGTGCTCTTCCACGTCGTTCACGACGGGCACGACGGGTACGTCGCGGAAGACCGGCTGCGCGCGCAGGTGGAAGTGCTCAACAACGCGTTTCGCGGCGCGACGCATCAGCACGATGGGCTCGTGAACGTTAACGCCGCGGACACGGGCGTTTCTTTTCACTTTCACGGCGCCACGTACCACGACGTCGCCGGCGCGACCGGGGAGACCGCGGGGTGGTTCAGGGACGACTGCTCGACCGGGTTCGGAGAGCTGAGAATCAAACGCGCGCTCGCGACGGACGTGCGACGCGTGTTGAACGTGTACACGTGCGAGCCCGACGGCGGCGTCTTGGGGTGGATCCAAGCGTTCCCGGACGAGTACCCCGAGGAAGACGAGCGCCACGGCGTGTTTTTGCTGCACTCCACGATCCCGGGCGGGGACGCGACGCCGTATAACCTCGGCGACACGCTCACGCACGAGGTGGGACACTACCTCGGGCTGTATCACACGTTTCAAGGCGGGTGCCACGCGCTGTGGGAGACGGAGAGGGGCGACGCGGTGTACGACACGCCACCGCAGAAGGACAGCTGTCACGGCACGTGCGCGGAACTCGCGGCGAGGGCGCAGGACAGCTGCGCGGGCGTCGGCGAGAGCGACGAGACGCTGCCGCCGTATTTTGGCAGGGACGCGTTTACAAATTTTATGGATTACAGCGTGGACGCGTGCATGTCCGAGTTTACCCCGGGGCAGGCGCAGCGGCTCGCGGAGGTGATCGCGCAGTACAAGCCAGGGCTGATGGAGAGCGGCGGTGGAGGTGGGGTCGTGAGCTTCGACGGACCGCCGTCGTCGTCGTCGTCGTCGCCGCCGGCGCCGCCGCCGCGGGTCGAATGCGCGGACGAAACGCACGCGAGCTGGTCGTTGTACCTGAAAGCCGACGACTTCCCGCTGGAGATTGGTTGGACGTTGAAACGCACCGCGACGCTCGAGGACGTGAGCGCGGTCGCCACCCTCGTCCCCGTGCGCGACGACGCCGCCGCCGTCGTGGCGCGCGTGGACTTTGGCGACTTGAAACAAAACGGCGGCGAGTGGATCTGGCGACGGTGTTTGCCCCCCGGGGTGTACGAGCTCGAGATTCTAGACAAGTGGGGGGACGGGATGTGCTGCTTCTGGGGACGCGGGGAGTGGCACACGACGCTGGACGGCGTGATGATCGCGTCCGGAGACGGCGACCACGACGCCGGGGTGTCGATGCGGATAGAAGCGCGCGTGCCCGTCGACGCGTCGGTCGCGCCGAGCCCGCCGAGCCCGCCGCCGCCACCGTCGCCGCCGCCGTCGCCGCCACCGCCTCCGTCGCCGCCGCCGCCGCCTCCGCGGCAGCAGTCAGACGGCGGGCAGGTCGTGCGCGCGCTCGCGGCCGCGTTATCGTTGTCCGCGTGATGCGAAGGACGTCGGCGGGCGGCTCGTCGAAGTATAAGTAATCGAGCGAAGCGTCGTCTCGTCGATTCGTTTCATCGTTCGCGTTCGTTCGCGCGTCGTCTACGTCTACACCCCGAATATCCCCTCCAAGAGCGGGTCGTCCCCGGACATCCCCCCCGTGCCCCCCCCCGGATCGAACAGCAGATCTAAATCCCCGTCCGGCATCGTCGCCGCGGCGTCCCCGAACGCGCCGTCCGCTTCGTCTTTCGTCGTCCCGAAAAATACCGCGTCGAAATCCGCGCCGCCGGGGCCGGGGCTCGGACCCGCGCCGCGGCCGCCGCGGGGGACGCCGACGCCGGCTTTTTCTCTCTCTCGCTTCGCCGCCGCGGCGGTCGTCTTCTTCCTCGCCGCGGCCGCCGCTTTCCTCGCGGTCGGGGACAGCGCGTCCTTGGACACCTTCACGGCGACCTTCGTCGCCTTCGCCTTCGCGGCGGCGCCTCTGCCTCCGCCGCGGCCGCCGCGCCCCCCTCGCCCGCCGACTCCGGCGGGCTGCCGCGCGAAGTCAGCGTCGACGCCGCCGGTCGTCCCCGCGCCCGCGCGCGCCGCGACGGCGACGCCCTCGACGTCGAGGGAGGCGTTGCCCAGGTCCCTGTTCAGATCCTTCGTCCGCTTCTTTTTCGCGGGCGGCTGCTTCGTCTTCGACGCGCCGGAAGATGAAACGTCAACCGTCGCGCCTCCACCGGAGACGCCGACGCCGGGGGAAGGGAGGAAGTCCCCTTCCAGACCGATGTCGAAGTTCTTCAGGTCGAACGCGTCGTTGTCGTCGTCGTCTCCGAACCCGACTTTGGGGTCGAACGCGATGTCGTCGAACCCGCCGAAAGGGTTGTTCAGGAGCCCGCCCCCGCCCGCGGCGGCGGCGGGTTTCTTCCCGCGCTTCCCCTTCGCCTCCGTCTTCACCGTCGTCCCCGCGGTCAACGCCCTCGCGACGCCGATCGCGCTTCGGTTCACCTTGACCGTCATCCCGCTTCGAGGTTTCCGAACGACCCCGTCCTTGGGGTCGAACCCGCCGCCGCCGCCGGCG